TTTGTTTAATTGACTGATTTGGTCTGTGTGTTTAATATTTGAGACTTTCCTCAGATATCTGGGGATTCCTGGTTGTCCACTTATTTTTAAAAGCAGGGAACTAAAACTGAGAGTTGTGGAGGGATAAGCTGTGTTGTGCTTCATCACTCAGCTGTGTCTGACCCTTTGTGACCCCGTGGACCATAGCCCACCAGGCTCCTCTGTCCATGGGATTCTCCAGGCAAGAATACCGGAGTGGGTTGCCATGCCCTCCTCCAGGGGCTCTTCCCAACCCAGGGACCGAAACCAGGTCTCCCGCATTGCAGGCAGATTCTTTACCATCTGAGCCACAGGGGAAGCCCCAAAATACTGGAGTGGGTAGCCTATCCCTCCTCCAGGGGACCTTCCCAACCCAGGAATCGAACTGAGATCTTCTGCATTGCAGGTGGATTCTTTACCAGCTGAGGGAAGCCCCCAGGGATATGAGGAGGAAGCAAAAATAGCATCTACCATCTTTACCCAGTCATACAATCTTCCATATCTATCATTTATTTCAAAATATTAAAAATGAAAAAACCATAGTCCACACTCTAATGATAAATTACTAACTATACTAACCCTAAAAACATGCCCACAGCCTTTCCTCTTTAGCCCTTAAGGAAAAACTTGGGACTCTTTTCTCAAAAAAATTCTCTATCGCAAAAAATATCATGAGATTAGTATGTGAATTTGTGACAAGTGTAAACCACTCTAAAATTGTGAATAGATTTGGAAACAATTTCTCCCTCCTCTCTACTCCCACAGTCCTGAATCAGCAGCCCGGCTCTCTCACTCATCGCTTCCTGCTTGGTGACTTGCCTGTGTGTTTTATCTCCATGACAATGCTCCAAGCCACAGGAAAGTAGGATGCATGTCCGGTTCATATCTTCTAAAGCCCCTGTCAGGAGCGAGATCTTCAAAGTTGGACAAACAATGAATGGATAACATCCTCAAGGTCTCCCTTTCCTCTTCTCAGCACGCATAGTTAACACCAGAGGATTTTAAATGGTGAATGAAAAAGAAACCCACAAGAACATAAAGAGAATTTAGAGAAAAATAAAGCAGGAAATCAAACCTCAACTTTAAAAAGAGAGACAGATGACTGTTTGCTGTTATTTAATTCCACTTTGAGGTCTAATCTCTTTACCTCGGAGCCCACCCACATATGAATGGGATGGGCCACGGTCCTGAGGGCAGCCGAGCGGTTTGGGAACACTAGTTTAAGCAAAGAAAGGAGTCCTTTGGAAACCCACATGCACAGCCCATAAATCAATCAGCCAATTAAGTCCATAAAGGACAGGCGGCAAATTAAGTCCAGACCCCATGGTTTGGCTTTCAAGTTTCTCCGTTGCCTCTCCCTGGGCACCTGCAAACTCCCTGTCTGGGGCCTGCCTTCTTTAATCAGCCTTGCATGTAGCTGCTAGAATCATTCTCAGATACCAAGCGTCCCATATCCCTTCTTTGTCCTGGAACTGACAGATTTCTTTCATCCCTGCATCAGATAGTTCTCCAGCCCAAATACCAAGACATCTTCATCCCTCCCTTCATCTACTTCTCCCTTACTGGGATCCTCCATCCACTGCACTTGTAAATCCCTACCACTGTATTTTTCTGTACATTTTTTTTCAGACTGATAACCATTCTTAGCAATAACAGTAATTGCTGACATTTAGTGTGCACTTACTCTGAGCTGGGCATTGTGCTAATATTGCTGGAGGGTTGTTTTCCTTAATCCTCCCATCAGCAGATAAAGAAACTAGGTCACAGAGAGGTTAAGTCATTTGCCCACAGCCATTGAGCTACTTTAAGGTAGAGCTGGGGCTTGAAGCCAGGCGAGCTAATCTCAAGACCACCGGCTCACCTCCCTTCTACGCACGGCCTTGATGTCACCATCCTCAGACCTGACCCCTTCCAGGAAATGTCTGATGAACGGAAGACTCTGACTCCGCAACATGTTTGCACATTGCTGGCTTGTGGCATGGAGCCATCTTTAAGTCTTCACCCTTCTATGCCCCTACATTCAATCTGTCACTGAGTCTTGCCACCTCACAGCCTCCAAAGTGCATCCCTGGAAGGAAGGGGTCCCCACCAACACCTCAGCACAGGCCCTGACAGCCAAGGTCGCCACCGTTCTTCCCAGCCAAAGAGCAGCAGGCTGTGAGTGGAGGGGACTACATCAGCCCGAGGGCCTGGCAGAGCCCCAGGGCTCCGGGGAATGGGAGGGAGAGAGTGGCTGCCCGTCCAAGGCCACGTCAGACGTGGGACGGGGCTGGAGCACTGGGGCAGGCCACACTCCATCTTGGGGATCAGATTTGGACACCTCAGCCTATGCTACTCCCGTATAGCCCGGTGAGCAGACACAGGCCCAGCCCTGGGGAGATGAGGCCCGCTGGGAGGAGGAGGCATCCAGGGCACCCTTAGGGTAGCAGCAGAGTGTCACTGGGGAGCCTGCAGAGCAGGTGGGGGACGGGAGGGGAAGCATCTTCTCAGCTGAGCTTTGGGGAGGCGGTATCTGCTCTTCAGGGATCCCCCTGGAGTTCTGGGCATGCTCTCATGCGCACAGCTGTGAAAGGCGAAAATCACCCTCCTCTGACTGCTGGTAGAGGCCTCAAGTTGGGGCTGAACAGCCCCCTAATAATGTGCTCACCGGGGTCTGCTCGGGCCAGGCTCAGGTGTGCAGTGAAGGCTGCCGCTTGCACCTCCATCCTGGCTTTGCCATTTGCTCCCCACCTGGCTAGTCCACCCCAGGGCTGCATCTTTTTAAACGTCCTGTTCACCACCCACAGACCACTCATCCCAGTGGGCCATGTCATCTTGTCATCCGGCTGCTCAAGGACCTGGAATCATTTCCAAGGCCTCTAAGACCAAATCCAAGCCTCTTACCCTGGAATTCAAGGCCTTCCCAAATCAGACCCTTTGTCTCCATGGTCACTTCATCACCTGCTACTGGGGCCCCGGTGTCCTCGTGTTGCTAAAACTTCCTTGTCATTCCCCACGCACACAGCAGTCGTTTCCACCTCTCCGGTGCTGAGGGAAGAGTGAAAAGAGCATGGGCTTTACTTTGGTTACGTCCTGTGTGTTTTGGGGCAAGTCACTCAATGTCTCTATGCTTCCAGTTGCTTACCTGTAAAAATACATTACAAGATGTTGTGAGAATTAGAGTGTTTGTATACAAAATACTAGCCACAGGGTAGGTTGTACTGTGTGGCTCCCACTAATACAGTGTGAGTCAATAAATGTGCTAAGTAGCTTCAACCAACTCTTTGCAACCTCATGGACTGTAGCCTGCCAGGCTCCTCTGTCCATAGAATTTTCCAGGCAAGGATACCAAAGTGGGTTGCCATGCCCTCCTCCAGAGGATCTTCCCGACCCAGGGATCGGAGTTGCGTCTCCTACGTCTCCTGCATTGGGAGGCGGGTTCTTTACCACTAGTGCCACCTGGGAAGCCCCATGAGTCAATAAATGAAATCCATATTACTGTGCCCTTGGCTTTCACCACTTACATGCCCTCCACCTCCTCTCTCACTGTCAGGCTTCTCCCGGCTTTTAGGCTCATCTCCAGATGCATCTGTATCTGCAGCCTTTCCAGCACACCTGACTTGGGGTGGGGGTAAGGGAAAGAAGAACATTTGCCAGTTGCCCACTGGGCGCCAGGCCATGTGGGGGACATGGAGAGTGCTGACAGTGGCAGCGAATACTCTCTGAGGGTCTCCTCAGCCCCGTCCCAAGCTTGTCATGTAAGCCTTGTTGGTAACTCAGTTCTGTGGGTTAAGGCTCCTAAATGACTTTCGGCTCTATCCAACCAGGATGGTTTGGTCTCCTGGCCATATCCCACTTTTCCCATCCAGTGGCCTCCAAGAGGCTGATAGTAAGAGTTTATCCACGAGTGATGTCTGTGTCATTCAGGCTTATTCTGTTAGAGAACATTTTGAGAAAAACACCCACCTTCATTCATCTGCCCTGCCACCACAGGTGCCGCCAGGCCTACCTGCTACACTCATGTTGGGCCCTAGCTTTTCGTAAATGTACTATTCCCTCTGCCCAGAACACCCTTCCCCCGGTCTGCCTGGAAAGCTCCAGCCTCTGACCAACCCTCCTACATTGGGGTCAAGGTCATTGGCCTTTCCCTCTGGCCCTCCAGGTGCCTCGTCCTTACTCTTCCTCAAATGTCTACATGCTTAAAATGGGCCCTTCCCCTGGGCTGAGAAGCCTAAGGGCAGAGCCTATATCCTGTTCATCTTTCTGTTTCAGTACTCGACACAGAGCCTGGTGCACAGTGGGCCTTGGTGTTTGGGGATGAAGGGAGGGAGGTGAGGGATGGGGTGGAATGGGTATCGGGCAGAGGGAATGGTGGGGATATGTTTCCAGCTAGTTCCTCCCAGGGCAGGACAGCCACGAGCCTCCATCCAGCTCAGAAGAGGAGGCCATGCCTCCGAGGAGATTCTGGAAACTTCCCTGGAAACAGGTCCGAGAGAACCCCAGCTGCCGCAGCCTCCCTCCAAACACCAGGGAGGTGCCAGTCTTTGGGCTCCATCAACCTTCTTACGGGAAATTGCTAAATGCATTTGGTGATTTTTTTGACATTTTCCCTGTTCAGGAGCTTGTGATTTCAGATTAATCACATCCACATACATTTAGACTGTCAGCTTGGAAGGGAAAATCTAAATTTTATTACTGCATGATTTCATCCAAAGCTATTTTACCAAAAAGGACGTCTGCAATATGGTGCAAATCATGACAAAACATTTTACCGCCAGGACCAAGCTCGTGGTGGGGGGTTGGGAGGGGGGATGGACAGAGAGCTGCAGGCAGGACCTGGGTGGGCAGAGCCTCAGCAGCTTCCATCTCCTGGAGAGATCTGGGTGCTGCTATCACTGCTCTCTCTGCCTCAGCAAAATGTCCTTCTTTGTCCAGATGTCCCCAGAACCCCGGAATGGCAGCTGCACTGACTAACTCCTGTCTTCCCCCCGCTCCCCCGGCAGGTACCATGACCAGCAGGATGTAACTAGTAACTTTCTGGGCGCCATGTGGCTCATCTCTATCACATTCCTTTCCATTGGTTATGGGGACATGGTGCCCCACACGTACTGTGGGAAAGGTGTCTGTCTGCTCACGGGCATCATGGTGAGTACCTGCCGCCGCCCATTACCCTTCCCCACCCGCAGAACGCCGCTAGGAGCGATCCCTTTATGGCAGGCGCAGGGGGCCTTCCTTGTCTGGGCGCGGGGCCAGCTGCTAGTTAACGGGCCAGCATGTGTGTCTGTGCACGTAGAAAGACAGATGTGACATCTGTACGGCTTTTCGCTTTTTCATTTCCTTGTCTGAGATGGGAAGAGGTCCTGGTTCCTGAACAGTTAACGGTCTCCTCACAGACCCCTAGAAATGGGCTGGGTGAAGCTGGCCACGAGTGTTACCCTCCACTCCCATCAGCGCCTGCAGTTAATTGTCCTTTTTCCTGTCCCGTGGGCCCCACAGACCTTGGCACCACGTCTGATAGAGTATAGCTAGAACTCACGGCGGCAAGTGCTCCGAGCCGACCATGAGAGACCTAGGTCCTAGCCTGGGTTGGCCACTGGTTCAGTTCCGGTTTGATGACATGGCCCTGGGCCAACTCTTGGCCTCTGTGTCTAACTGTTGAGGCGCTGGGCTCCGAGTGCCGCTTCCTTCCCAGTGCTGGCACCCGGCTAGCCTGTGACAGCATCCCCATCCCTCCCCAGGTGCCCAGCAGCTGTGCTGCCTCCTCCCAAGGTGTATTTTTCTGCCCCATCGCCCTGCCATCCCCAGCCTGACACACACTCCTGCCCATCACATGGCCGCACAGCATGGAGTCTGAATGCCCATGGTTGGACCTCAGTGTGGACCCAGGCAGGGCACTTAGCCTGCTGGACCTCAGCATTCTCCAGTACAAAGTGCAGATGGGAGGCCTGCTCCGCCCTCCTCCCTGGCTGGTGATGGGGATAGACTGCAGTGCTTTATGTTACCACGCTCTGTCAGCAACAGGGAGCTGCACCCGCCTTCAGGGCTGGCAAGTGCTCAGCGTCCCTACCCCCACTGCTCCTTCACCGGCCGGTTGGGATGAGGGCTTCTCGCTGCTCTCCTGGCTTTCTGACCAGGACAGACAACCGGGCCCTTTGACCTCCTTCCCAGAGCACAGGGTAAACACGTAGGGTCCTCTTTTCAGAAGAGGAAACTCAGGGTCGGAGAAGATGCAGGAATCTGAGGCTGTGTGTTGGAACGGGGTGGGGAGGTGTTGGTGGGGATGAGGGTGGGGTGGGGACAGGAGGCCTGAGGCTTATTCCTAGGTCTCACTGGTGGGTCACGGCAGCCCACCCCGAGGAGTCCTCTCTGCACCCCTGTCATCAAAATCCTTCCAGGGCTCCCTCAAATTTCAGCCATCACCCCCATTTCTCCAGGAGGAAACAAAAGACCCTCCTTCTGGAAGGGAAATGACTCCATCCCTCAGTGGGCAGGGGTTTAGCTGCTCACTAGCCTGGAGGCCTCCTGGGACTGACAGCAGCCAGTTGCTCAGAGCAGCGGAGGCTGTGGGGTCAGAGGCCTGGGCCACGGGGCAGGAAGGCTCCGGCGTTGCCGCGTCAGGACTGGACGCCGTCCTCTCCTTTTCTGACTGAAACCCAAGGCAGGCACTTAGTGGGTCCTGGGCAGGAGTTAATGACAGGCGGCTTAGCGCCGGGCTTGGGATAAACCATGGGTAAGTGTAAGGGCTCAGAACAAATACCTCTCGTTGGTTGGTAGGAGTCTGCCTGGCACAGCTCCAGCTGTCACCAGGAAACCAGGGAATGAGTCTTCCTCCCAGAAAAGAATGAAATGCCGCCCGAAGACCAAAGCTTTCCTGTCTCAGAGCCGCTCCTGGGGCGCCAGCTATGTGCCTCAGAACCAGCTCTCGGGCTGGCCTGCACAGAGCCCAGCTGCTGATAGGTGAACGGCCCTGCTGGGAGCCGCCGTTATTTTTAAATACCAACCATTCTCCCTCTCAGCATGGCGCTATGCCCCGGCCAAGAAGCCAGAGCCTGGGAGCCATCATTTCCCTGGCTTCCTAACTCCCGCATCTCTGGGCTTCTGCTCCAGCATAGCTGGGCAGTGGGCCAGCCAGACCCTGGTCCCTTCCTGCCTTTTCCTGGGGTGTGGTCTTCACACCCACTTTTGCTCCAGGGGCTTCAGCAGCTGCTTGGAAGAAAGTGTTTGTTCCTTGAGGAGAAAGGTGTGATCAAAGTGGAGAGAATAAATGAGTGAGGAGGAACTCATATGCACCCCCTGTATTAAAAATACAGCACCTGCCTTTCATCTTCTCTTTCTGCATCAACCCTGCTGCATAGATACCTATCTATACACAGGGACAGGGAGCTTCCCTCCACTTGTGTTTTTACCCAAATTAAAATCAGCTGCCTCCCTCTGGGGTCAACCACAGTGGGGAAACCTGGTGGCATTTTTTTTTTTCTTACAAATGGTACTTTTCTAGCTGAGTCACTCCTTTCCAGGGTTTCACATGGCTGAGAATCCCTTCCTCCCATCCCCCAGTCTCCCAACACTTTGTACCTCTCCTGATTATTATTGCAAGTGCCTTTACGAAAGGTAGGGCTTCCTGTTTGGTTACCATGGACACCACGCAGGCCAAGGCAAGGCCTAGTGGGAAGGGAAAGGAAGAATTTGTGTGTGCAGGCTGTAAATAGTCTTAATCATTGTTTTCTCTTGGCAATCCCAGTAACGGTGTAATTATCAACCATTAAGCAGGGTATATAATTGTCTGAACAACTTGACATTGTTGGCACAGGCCTGGTGTGTTTGAGAGATTTCACCCACTAAAGCAGATATATCAAAGTCCAGCATCTTTCCATAAAGAATTTTATGATGACGGTTATAAGGCAGAGAGAAAGCTGACAATATTTAGTATCCAGAATGGGCCTCAGAAGGCTTTCTGGTTCTACAGGCATCTGGAAGACTTTTGGGACCCCAAGACTGATTGGTAGGAATCCCATTTCAATATATATTTTCTAAAGCTGGACTCATCAGGAAAGACCCTGATGCAGGGAAAGATTGAAGGCAAGAGGAGAAGGGGACGACAGAGGATGAGGTGATTGGATGGCATCATCGACTCAACGGATACGAGTTTGAGCAATCTCTGAGTGATGGCGAAGGACCCGGAAACCTGGCATGCTGCAGTTCATGGGGTTGCAAAGCATCAGACACGACTGAACCACAGAGCCACTGAACGACAGAGCTGGCCCCACTCTGTGGACCCTTTAGGAGTTAGGGACAGATAGACAAAAGATTCCAGGATACATGCTGGGGACACTGAGCTTTTCCCCTAAGATTTCATGCAAGAGGCTTCTTTGAACTGCAAAAGGAAAGGGATGATGAAGTAAAAGGTGGCACAAATTGAGTCATTTGGGGAGGAGGTAAAGAGGAGGGCTCAGCAAGACATCTGCTTAATGTCAGTTTTAGAAGATGAGCTTCTCCCTGAAACACCTTGGTTTCAAACCAATTGATGTTATTTTAGTTGTTACATGGAATCTGTTGCAGAAACAGAATCCAACTGTAAATCCTCCAGGCTTCCCTCCTCCATTTGTCACTTTCATTTATGTTTTGTTTTATTTTATGCTTCTTGAGTTAAGAACACCTCATACTCTTCCCCTTGGGATACTTATTTTTCGAGAGTCTAAGGTTTTCCAGCTGGAAAATGTTTCTTGGAAACAAGAAGTAGGAGGACCAGTGTGAAGGAGACTGGGTCTCTGGTTTGGGTCCAAATCTATGGATGAGTTAGGCGTGTTGACCCCAGGCCAGCCACTCCTTTCTCTGTTCACTCCCGCGCTCCTGCTCACTATGTACCTTGGAAAGTACGACCTCATTAGAGGACCCTATCCCCTCCCACCACTCTCCCATGGAAATAGTGTTAGATAGAGAAGATCCAGGGAATCCAGTTGGTGTTGACCAGGATTCAGGACTTGGCACATCTGAAGGCAAAAATCTGAGTCATGGATTTGCTCCACAGTCTGATCCAGTGGAAGTCACACCAGCAGCTGCTTACCCTCTTTGGTCCCACTCTGTCCTCGCCTCAGATTTCCCCCTCTGCCCACCAGCCATTTCTGAGATTCCACGTGAGGACAGCTAGGACAGCAGGAGTGCTCACATGCCCAAATCAGCCAAGGCCTTGGCAATTGTCTCATAAAATCAACCCACATCCCTGCCACATCACATGAACCTTCTTAAACTGTTAACATGGCCCTATCGGGCTGATAAACTCACCTAAGTAAAAAGGCCTCCTGTCCCCAAAAAAAGCAGAAGTAATCATTGAAAGTGAAGTGACATGAAAGTGAAAGTCGCCGCTCAGTCGTGTCTGACTCTTTGCGACCCCATGGACTATACAGTCCATGGAATTCTCCAGGCCAGAATACTGGAGTGGGTAGCCTTTCCCTTCTCCAAGGGATCTTCCCAACCCACAGATCGAACCCAGGTCTCCTGCATAGCAGGTGGTTTCTTTACCAGCTGAGCCTCAAGGGAAACCCAAGAATACTAGAGTGAGCTATCAGGGAAGCCTGAAGTAATCATTATACCACTTAAAAGTAAAGGCAGCAGGAGGTGGGAGGGGATCCTGCTGTCTTTATTTCCTTCATTTCCTCTAAAGAGCCAAAGTTGACCATTAACTTCTGACCCAAGTCTTAGGCTCCTTGTTCTTCTTGTCTTCCACCCAATTCCCATGAGCCCATCCCTCTTCCCTACTCCTATCTATTTTCTTTCCTATTTTCACTTCTTCCTTTCCTCTTCTGCTCTCTGTCCCATGCTATTGAGGAGGCAGCACAACTTGTTGCCTATCTCAGTCTCTGCCCCAACTCTCTCTCTCTACATCTTCCCTTCCTTCCTTCCTTCCTTCCTTCTTCCTTCTCTCTCTCCCTTCCTCCCTCCCTCTCTTCCTTTCTCTCTCTCACACACAGGAGAGGACCAGTCTGGATTCCAGCACCTGGCACACCACTTTCTGAAGGTTGCTGGTGTCTGACCCCATCTTTGCAAGGTTGCCTCTTGATGGGAATAACCAGATTAGGTTTCATCACTGGCTACTTCCCTAATCCATCCAGATAATTGATTTTTCTAAAAGAAAAGTGAAGTTGAAAGTATCTACTGCTATCTATTCGAGTTGAATTAGGGGTTAAGAATAAAGCATCCTTCTGGGAAATATCCACAAGGAAGTCTTGACCTCTTTAAGTTGAAGGAAACTGAGAAATGTCATCTAGTCCAACCTCCTGCCTCCATGCAGAAATGTGTCTTAATCATATAAGACAGGTGGTTCCTTAATTAGAACACTCTAGCTTCTCTTTGCCCACTCCAGTGTTCTTGCCTGGAGAATCCCAGGGACGGCGGAGCCTGGTGGGCTGCCGTCTATGGGGTCACACAGAGTCGGACACCACTGAAGCGACTTAGCAGCAGCAGCTTCTCTTTAGAACCCCTCTGCATTCAGCTGGCTCGGTTATGAGCCATGGCAGGATCCATGGAGCAATCCATCTAGCACCTGAAACTTTGGGATTGTGGATGGTTGATTGCTTTAATGAAATTCCCCAAGTGGCATGACAAGCAAGGAGACTCCTTCAGGCTAATTCTTCCCCCAGCTCCCAGGGATGATTTAAGTAGAGTTTCCCTGGACCCGGGGAGATGAGGGAGCCTGGAGTCAGGGGAGAACCCTCTACATCTGATGTTCTGTTTTTAACACTATGATATATCCCTCTTTTTGGGCATTTAGCCCAAAGTACTTTTGGAACTCCATACAAAAGAGGGGGATTATATACTTGGTCTGGTTGAGGGGAAATGGATCACACATCTTCCCGCTAGAAGAGCTTTTTAAGCTATTTTTTGCTTTTAGAAGCCTGGCTCAATTGATGACACCTACAGACCAGGCTGTCCAACTGCCCATACCTATCCTTTGAAAACTGGGCACAGAGTCTCCTGCAAGTCACTGATGCCAAGAAAACAGGGCTGTCCCTGAACAAGAAAGGAAAATGAGGTCAGAAAAAGGAAGGTTCGCACAGACTCCGTTCTTTTCAGTTTGTTGTGCTAGAAATGGGTCACTGACCAAATGTACCAAGAAACAGGAGATTGTTTTCATGAGAACCCTTCTAAAAAAGCTAGGGAAAAGCATTGCCAACTTCAACTTTGCCAAAACCTCACACCGGCTAGCCTTTGCCAATCTGTGGCAAAGGAAAGAAAGCGATTATGAGGGAGAGAGTAGGGGACTGATCTGTCACATGCATGCTGCCCAACTCTGATACAGATGATAGTACCTTTGAAAGCAGTCTTTGTGACTTCCTACACATTCTGTTAGACTGCATGAGTCCTAAAGGTTCTTGATGGATTCCTTGAATCCTGGGACTTCAATTGCTAAACTGAGCTCTGTGGCACCTATAATTACCGTTTGGCACCTAGAGCGTCAGACTGCTGACTTTCCTGAGCTCATCATCTTTCCTTGAGTAGAGGTCAGGGCAGTGCAGGGCCCCACGTGCAGGAGAAAGGCAATGGTCCCCAAGAGGCATGTGCTGTCTTCCAGGAACCAGGCCAGAGTAGGCTATCACTGCTGCCTGCAGGAGAAGCAGGGCAGGAGCAGTTCTCTCTTGCCATCCCCAGCACCCCCCACCCTGTCCCCCAGGTCAAGACGCACAATGAAGAGGACTTCAAGGCCCTTCAGAAGAATATTGGGATGAGCCAGCCCCTTTCTGCTCATTTCTCGGACAGTCAAGCATGTGCCCAGAGGGTTAGGAGAGAGAAAGTGAGTCTTCAGGAACCTGCCTCTTTTATACACCCTCCCTGGGCTCCCCTGGAATAGACCTTCCAGAGCAGAGTAGGAACACTGCTCTGGAAAATACTGAGCACCTTCTGCACATTCCTTTAAAATCCCGGGTTGAGGCAGGTATCTTTAAAATCTCTGCAAGATGGTGAATTTTGGAGCCTCCTGGTGAAAGTAAGAAGGAACTGATATCTTGTGCTGAGTCATAGGCTAGAACTCCTGTGAAAAGACCCAACCGAGGAGCAAGCGCAGTCATTGAGCACATAGACTCTATCCAACTGGGATTGCCCTGGAGAGCAGTCTTGGGGGAGGGGAGATGCTTTGCCTCTTCATTAGATTCTTTTCAGGAAAACTGTCCTCCACCCAGCAGATGATCCATCCAGACTGCATGGCTGGCTGTCTTTCCTCCTGCCCTCCCCAGCCCACCCTGCTCTAGACTGGTGGTGGGGCTGGGGTATGGGTGAGGATGAGGGCGCATGTGTGCTGGATTTTCTGTCTTCCCTGCTTAGCTTGGCAGGTGACCGAGTGATTGTTCAGTATTTTATATGACCCCAAGCCTCAGCCCCATCAAGTACCCTGCTCCATGAGGAAGTGGCCAGCTCTAGGAAGGCTCATGTCCCAGAGGTCAACACCTTCGTGGCTGTGGGGATCAGGGTCCTGCTGGGTTTGGGGACTTAGCCTTGACTAGCCAGAGTTCAGGTCTCCACCCCACTCCCAGAACCCCTCAGTGGGCCCGGGGCATGTGGAGTCTTATGCGTGAGCCCTGCTTCATTAATGATGTGCTCTCTCCCCGGTCCTCTTGCCCCCCACAGGGTGCTGGCTGCACTGCCCTGGTGGTGGCCGTGGTGGCCCGGAAGCTGGAACTCACCAAAGCGGAGAAGCACGTTCACAACTTCATGATGGACACTCAGCTCACCAAACGGGTAAAACACCACTGTCCATGTCTTAAAGGGGGACCTAAGCCCCACCTAGGAGCTAGTCAGAAAGTAGCCACAACAGGTCAGGGCTGCACCTTTCAGTGGAGGGTTGAGGGAGCCCCAGACACATGCAAACAGCTGGTGCAGAATGGCCACAATGCCTCAACGCTGCAGGCTCCTGTCTTTTCTTAAATCACTGTGCATGGTTCAGGCAACCAAATAATTTCCCTGATAATTAAATCTATAGCCTACAATGATGTAACCTACTCCCTTGCCTAATGGTACCAAGTAAATCACCCAGCATGCGATGTTTTGGTTTCTGCTTAAATATTTTCATGATTCTCATTAGCAAGGGCAGTAGAAAGTCTTTAAAATGATATTGGAAATGTATCTAAATTCAACCCCTAAAAAAAAATCATTACAAACAATCACTCCTAAATAATGTTCATCAAAATATCATCATCTAATTTTCCCCTTTTGGGGTTTCCAAATAGTGTTTCTCCCTTGTGTCCTTAGGGAAGTGGGTAAGGAGGATTAAAAACTGATTAAGCAGGAATGGGGGAGATCATTTAGCTGCTAAAAATCTGACATCCCACTGGATTGTCAGAAAAGAAAAGGCCCCTTTAGAAGAGACAGAAGCAAGCCTTCCAGGATAAGAGCAGGCCAAATGAGCAAGGCAGGAGCTGTTTATTTAATAACAGCTTTTATGGAAAATTCTTTAGAGCTGCAGGCTGAGCGAAGGTCAGGAATATGATTTCCTGCAAAAACTCTCCTCTTTCCAAAGTGAGAGAGGAGCAAAAACCTGTGCTGGGGTCTTGGCCACCCTAGCAAGTCTTTCTCATTTAGGATTAAAATGCGGCTGGGAGACCCATGAGCAGCCAGATTTTGATTGGGGTTTTTGAAAGCTGGAGAAAATATTCAGTGATGAATGTTGTGGCACAGTAAAAATGTGTTCGAAATAGAGACAAAGGCAGGAAGGGAGGGAAAAAAGAGAGGGAGAGTGACAGAGGGGGGGTGCGCTCAGGAGGGAGGCAGTGGGGGAGGGGGAAGTTGCCAAGGCCTCTCCAGTTTCTCAGCAGAATTCTTTATGGTGTTTGATTGTTTGGTCTTTGATTACATGCATTGGGTTCTTTAACAAGCCTTTTTAAAGATGTTAAGAAGAAAACGTACAGGCAGATATTCTTCTGTGGTTGACATACAGATGGTTATATATGGCGCATTATGGCACTGAGCTGTCTGTGGTACAAAAGAAAGCTCAGTCCGTAGCATCAAGATGGCAGCATGGAGGGCTATACCCATGGTAGGCCAGCCGGGTTCCATCCAAGGCCCTACAGCCCAGCTGCTTTCCTTCAGCCCCTACTATGCATGTAGAAGTCATGCTAGGAATTGAGCAAATTATCAAAGTTATTGGGGAAAAAAATAATCACTCAGTGGTGTCTGACTCTTTGCTACCCCAGGGACTATAGCCTGTGAGACTCCTCTGTCCATGGAATTCTCCAGGCAAGCATACTGGACTGGGTAGCTATTTTCTTCTCCAGGGGATCTTCCCAAGCCAGGGATTGAACCCAGGTCTTCTGCATTGCAGGCCAATTCTTTACCGTCTGAGCCGCAAATATATTTCCCTTTATTCTCCTGGAACAATGTAGTGCAAGAGTCAAGGACAAGGGTATTTGGCCCCAAAACCTTCTCAGAAGCTGTTTCTTAGAGCACAGACATTAACAGCCTCTCTGTTTATTCTATTTGCTTTTGAAACCAAGGATATACTTTGTATTTCACATTATTCCTTTGTCCTCTTCATTTTTCACCCTTTGAATCAGACACTAGAGGAAAATAAAGTTGAAGAAAGCCAGCTCCCTCCTATGACAAGAAAATAAACAATTTTTCTGCACTATGATTGTAGAAGATGAGGTTGTGGTGGCTAATTTCAGTCTTTCTTTCAAATATATTCTCTAAAATCCTTCTCAAATCTACTTTTTGAAAAGTAGGACTGAAAACCAAATCAACAAATATTTGTTGCCCATCTATGAGTACAAGGCACCTTTTTAATCGAATAACATCTCACTTGTCTGAGAACACTTAAATCTGTTGAAATGTTCCTTTAATGTCTAATATCTCTTTCCCAGAGAAACATCCAACACGAAAGGGATGGTTCTCACACAGAGAGGATTCTCAAAACTGGCAGGACTGGAAAGGTTCTTTTACATAACCTTGATTGAAAGGACACTGGCTGTGAGCTTGGCCTGCTCCGGCTTCAGTTCCCCTTCACCTGGTCTCAGAGAAGCCCACCTTCCTTCCCCTGGTGATGCCTCATCCATCCTCCGTCTTCTCCAAATGGCCCTCTGTGTCCAGACGGAGTGGCTTATGGGTCAAACAGATGCTAAGCTTAGTCTACTCATAAGATCTCAGTGAATTCACAGAGAAAGATCTGATCGTGGGAGGAGCTCATTGGGGCATAATTGCAAACCTCCCAGGAGTGGACAATTAGCAGATTTAACAGATAAAAGCCGTCTCTCACAAGTACACACAGCCTTAATTCTTCAAACATCTAAGCAAAAAACAAAAAAGAGGAATTCTAACGTATTGATCATTAAAGTATTCAAATTGTTCTAGTCTTTATTGGTAATAAAGTCTTCAGCCCAGCCTTTACCATTAGAGTCACACTATTTTTATTCATTTATTTCCCAGGGAGGTGGGGGCAGGTAGGGTGGTGGTCTGATAGCACAGGGTCCAAACTAAGTTTCTGGTTTTCTGAGTCACGTGACTTTTCTTCTCTCACTTGTATAACTTGTCGACCCTGGCGGCAACATCATTTCTGTATTTAATGCAGTCAGATCTTCCCACATGGACTTGGCAGTGTTACTGCCATTGTTAATCTCGAATTACAATTTACTGCTAACCTCTGGGCTACTAGATAATATATATGTAAATTACACACAGAGAGACTATAAAAAAGATACTAGATCCTCATCTTTTCTCCCATGCAACACTACACATCCCTGTGTCTCTCTTTTATGCAATGAAACACATCCATTGCAGCTGGATACCACACCCTGTGTTCTGGGGACACCGAGATGAATAGGAGATAGTCCCTGCCCTCATACTTACTGCCTGTCCTCAAAGAGCACCTCTCCTTTCTAAAGAGCAAGGTAGCTGCCCATTACACACTTGGCTTAAGAGGTACCAGGAGATGTTCTGCTGGCCACGCCCACTCTCCACATCAAATCTGCAGATACCTCCACGGTGTGCTGCCACTGGCTAAGGACTGTTATCTCTTCATTCTTCCCTTGAAGGGTTCCTGCCTCAAATACTTCATCCAAGTCCATTTCCCCCTGCAATCAATGGGTAAGACAAAAACCAAACCTGTATCTTCCTAAAATGAGTGTTTTTCCTGACATCCCTGTTAATGACATCATCATTCTTCCAGTCTCCAGGTCTGAAAATTTAGCAGCATCTCTGACTCCTCTCTGCCCTGGTACTCACAGGGCTCCAAACAGCTTCGGAGTCTGATTCCACCTGGCCAAACCAGCGTCTCCAGGTCCTCTGCCCACCATACTTCAAGCCACCATCTCAATCTTGTGCCATTTCAGTTGCTTGCTACCTTCTCATCTCACCTGGACCTCCCTTGCCCAAGTCATCCTGTACTTTATCCTTGTGACTCTTCTTAGATGCTGAGACTTAGCTCTGCACATGCCACCAACCTGCTCAAAAACCTTTCTTAGCCCCCCAGAACCTACTGATCAGTGCTAAAGAAAACTTTCCTTTAATTACAAGCATATGTCAAAGTTTTATCACAATCCTGCTGAGGAAAAAAATGGGTTTTTTTTCCAGCAGACTAATTCAAAGGTTTACTCATAGAAGGGGTCTTTCATTGGAAGAAACAATAGTAGTCATTGTTATACTGGGTACAGAAAATTTGGCTAAAGGACACTAGATTACTGGCTGACAGCTGGTGGGACCCACAAGTAGATTCCCAGAACAGGTCTTAATCTTTTAAGAATTTGTCAGATAATCAATTGAGCAGTTATCAGGAACGCTAATTGTCCCCAGAAGGGAATTATAAATTATATCACCCACTAAAGTTCTGTCCCAGACAGATTGGGTACAGGTTTTCTTTAACAATAGTCATAGGAACATTGAGTTTCTGAGCTGGAAGGTTCTTAGGGATGAGCCTCACAGGCCCAGAGATAGGCGAGGGGGCCCCCCAGCCATATGCAATGAGTTGGGTCCCAGCCAGGGCTGCCGTTTGTTCTCAGGCTGGTAGGCAGCTCTCCAGCCATAACCCAGTGGGTTTCCCAGAACAGTTAGCTCCTTGGAATTCAGAATAGTGGTGAGGGTCCCAGGTCTGCTGGAAGAAAAAGCCAGTTTACCTCCAAACAAGCTGAGCATCACATTAATAGCATTATGGTGGAACTAGCCTCCTGAATCCACAGATTCAGGACCATGTTGCTCTGGGGAAAGACCAGACGCCAGCTTCCAACGTGGAAGCACAGCCCTGCCTGCTCCCAGCCCCAGTGTCCTGCCAGCCACAGGAGCCCCACTTCTTAGTGTTCAGTGAGAGCTTCTGAGCGAGGCAGGCAGAGGAGCCTGAAACAGGAATGAGGAAGGAGGACAGTGTAAGGAGGGAAAGGAGAGAGATGGCGGCCGCAGGAAGCCAGCAGCTAGTGTGGTTGTGGGCTGGAGAATCAGGGTGGCAGATGGAGAAGAGGGGATGTCCAGGCATGACAGACAATTTCAGTGGAGCGTCTGAAGACAGGCCTGACCTGAGGGCTCTCAGACTGTGATATTACCATCCCTTCAGGTTTATTCATCTACATTCAACCTCTAGAAATTCTTGAAGTTGTCCAAGTCACACCTTCTTGCCAGGCCTGATCTGCCCTCCTCCCTTCCTCCTTTCCCCCCTTCTCCATCCTCCAGGAGCAAACAGCCTCACCCTGGGATGGAGTGCTGGCAGCATTGTGGGCATGCTAGTATTTCTTTTCTGGGGGACCCACCAGTAGGGCTCCTGGAATTACTCTCCCAGGACTCCGTGGCTGCTGAAAGCATGGGGAGGCAGGCAAAAAGGGTGCTTCTCCTCCTGCCTCACATGTTCCTCCTGCAACAACCAGCCCCTTTCCTGCATAACACAGAGGAGCAGATTACCCTGCAGAGAGGCAGCCAGAGCAAGTCATGGACATGTATAATACAGCCAAGAGCTCAAGGAACAGACATATATGTTCTGTGTTTTCTTTCGCTGGAGGTGGAGGAAGAAGCTGACATTTGTTGCAGGGGAAGAGCATCAGTAAGGCACCAGGTACTAAGGTGCTGGGCAGCCAGGCTCTGTGCTAAGTGTTTGAAGTACATTCTCATTGAATCAACCCTGCAACCCCGTTTCACAGGTCAGAACTCAACATTACCCTGTAGCACCCTTCTTTGCTGCAGCTACAGGGCATGCTGGCCCCACAGGATTAGAAGCTCCCTGAGGGCAGAAAGGTTATTGGTTTGTGCCTCCCAGGATTCTCACTTCCTAGAACAGTGTCAGCCCCATCTTTGGCATGTGGTAAATGATTTGGGAAAGAATGAATAAGAAAACTGAGTCTCAGAGAGCCTTCCCAACTGGTCCGAAGTGAAGGTGATCATTCATTCATCCCCTTGTGAGGTTTTTCCGAGGGCCAGTGGAGCAACGTAAACATAAAGTGTTGAGCACAAAGGAAGCACTCAGTGGATGTTAACTGTCAGTACTGTATGCAAGATCTTAGTTGTACAACTTTCTTGCCCAGGCCCATCAATCTTTGAGCCCTCCCTGAAGTACATATGTCACTGAGCCTTTTCTCTGGCCACCATCAGAGTGAAAGCACACAGTTTTGGGGAGAGAATGAAGGGACCCACAGAAACAATTAGCTCATGTGCTTTGGATTTGACTGGCTGTTCCATCCAGTCTTCCATGCACAAACAGCCCTCTTCTAACTATTCCTGAGTCCATCAGATCATGGCCAAGCTTACCCAGACCTTCCCAGTTCCCTGACCCACCCACTCTCACCCCCAAGAGTATCTTTGGGCCCTGATGCCCCTGCCCATCAGGAGAGCTCAGTAGGTACCCAAATCCCCATCATGAAACAGTGCTTGGGAACCCTGTGGCGCTCAGTGAATCCCAGGAGGTGCACACGACCTCTATGTTTCCCACCCCAGTGATGCCCAAAGCAATCAGCCAGGTGAATTGGAGGGAGAACCTGGTCACAATAGCATTTACTGTCAACTTGGGAAAGCACAGTGCAGTTAAAAGCCTATTTCTTTTTCTCTTGCAGATATTGATCTACTTAGCTTTGTGCCAGGCTGTTTGCTGACAATTAATTCAGAGTCAGCACCAAGGCTCGCATTTAACATCGCTTTCCCGAATACGCGGGGGCCTCCTGTTCAAACCCATAAAGACGCTGTGACTGCTTCACTCAGCTACCCAGGCTGTGCTGTGGTTTTAGTACCTTATATTTGGGCTGAAGTTAAGTGCAGGACCTGGACTCCCTGTTCTGTCATATTGCTAAGTGAGGGCCGTGATGATTAAAAACAAATCTAATGTCCTTCCCAGTTCCTTGATCCTGGAAAACAGGAAATAATTTTGTTTGCGTAGAGATGACATCTTGTCAGGTCTTTCTTCAGACCACATGAAAACCTTATGCTCTTTTTTGGACGTGGGTCTTGTTTTGACTCTGCCATTAGCTAGCTGTGGGATTCTGATCCTCACATCCTATCTCTGAAACTGCCATTTCCTCATATTCTCAGAGGGGATTTGGGCCAGATGATGATAACTAACATCTTTATGGTACTTTATAGTTTCTATAACACTTAAATTCACATTGACTCAGTTTGCCATTTATAACTTTAAGGTCTTGGTCTGTGTCTCTGTTTCTTCATCTGTAAAATGGGGATAATATGAGTACCTGCCTGAGAGGGTTGTTGTGAAGATTAAATGCATTTGCACATATGTAATCTGGCGCCTGGTAAATGTTCACTCAGCACCATCAGCTCCACGGTAATTGCCTCCTAGGGGCCTCAAAACAACCCTTAAGGTAAGGATTTATTTTTCCCATCTTATGGATAATTAAGCACTTACTCCTAAACTGGCAGAACAAGGATTTACTGCAGGTTTTCCAATTTCCAGTACTGGTTCCCCACCAACACAGAGACCATTGTCAGGGGCTCACCCACACTGATGTTCCGTGCCTTTATCAGTGTTCCAGGGATGAGACTTGAATAGCTGGGGTCTGCCAGTCACCCTAAGTGCTGGGGCAGGGTTTTCCCTCCTAGCCTTCTGGGAGGCTCTCCTCGGAGGCTATACACCCAGGGAAACTGAAGAAATCACCTGTCAAGTTGCTCTCTCCCTACAGAAGGGCGGTGAGAGGAGGCCCTCCACAGAGAAAGAGACGTTGCCAGGAGGCTGACGTCCACTCTAGCCCCTGGACAGAACCCCCATGATGACCCCCTCCTCTTCCTCCCCCCTCCTCACCTGGACACTCACCGTTTTCAGCTTCTACTCACCACCACCTGCTTCCTCTCAGGCAAGAAAGTGCCAGAGGTGGGCAATTAAGTCATTTAAAACCATTTTCATGGTAGAATTTTACTGAGCAGAAAAGCAGTATTTATGTCACTTAGACATTTCTGAGAAGACCTAGCTGTTCTTTTAGAACATCACTTCAGCGCCAATGAAAAATATAATCCAGCCTTCATAATAAATTTTTAAAACACACACACAAAAGTTATCAGCCTACAAAACAATGTTTCCTAGGCCTTCCCACACGTCTCAGTATTTTAACAACGTCCCATCTGTTGATGTCAGTCTGAAGAAGCAGGCCTGTACTCTCCAATTTTATTAAAATCTTTTCTGGCTAGTAACCTGATTTCTACTAGGCTGGCCTACTTACTTCCAGGCCCTGGGCCTATGGGCCTGTGCCAATGTGCATGGCTGATAGAAATGGGAACAGTTCATCAAAAATCTGTTTAGCTTGTGCTTAATAAGAAATGTTTCCTCTTGCTCTTGTTACTAATTGCTGAAGATGTCTGTGTTTGGATTAAAACTTTGTCCCCTGCCATCTGGATGCCATTGATATGTCTCAGTTCCATCGTGAGCTGGATGATATCAGTGGTTTCCATGTCAACAGATGACAGCGTCATATGTGGAAATGTGTGATTGCAGTGCAGAGAAGGAGCCAGCCTGCGGAAGGAAGCAGCTCTGGTTTCACACCAAAATATCTTCACTGATTTGCAGACCCTTCTTGGAAATGATGTCAGTTTTATGCCAATTATACTTATATGTAAAGTTGCAGTGTAACTGTTTTGGGCCATTTGGGAAAGGAAATAATGGACTTGTTGATACCTAGAGCTCCATTTGGTGGGAAAGATTTCCTCAAAGAGGCCTGGTAAAATCTCCAGCTGAAGTGAAATAAGTCAGATAGAGAAAGACAAACACCGTATGATGTCACTTACACATGGAATCTAAAAAAGACAACAAACTAGTGAATATAACCCAAAAAAAGCAGACTCACAGATAAAGAGAACAAATTAGTGGTCCCCAGTGGGGAGGCGGGAGGGGTGACATAGGGGCCGGGGAGTGGAGATACAGACTACAGAGTGTAAGACAGGCTCAGGGATATATAGGGCAACATGGGGAGTATAACTAATATTTTGTAATAACTGTAAGTGGAAAGTAACCTTTACATTTTTAAAAATAAATTTTAGTTAAATTTTAAACAATTTTTAAATAAATACAATCTCTAGCTGATAGGAAATCTGTTTACTCTCGGAATCCAAGAAATGTATCATGTGCACTAAATAAAAACCCCATGTAGAGCATGGAACTCTGCATCCAAGGGCAGCAGTGGTACATATTTATCTATTCAAAGTGTACCCCAGGCCGCCAGGTCTCGGTAAGGCAGCCTATCTAAATATAGCAACAGCAGTGGAGAGGCAGTCCCAAAATAATTAAGAAAGAGAAAGAGGTACTCCTCAACTTCAGCCTCCAGTCTACCGTGTCCAATACAGGATTAATGAGAGATGAATTTTCATCATCCTTTCTAAGAGTTCACGATTTGATTAAGGAAAAAGATCATTGCAGACTCATTTCCTTGCCAAATCAACTCTATCGGCAGACCGCCCCCCCCCCCCAAAAACATGTCATGTGAACCTAGGAAAACTCACCTGATAGTAACCTGCTTATTTACTTTTCCTTAGATCAAGAATGCTGCAGCCAATGTCCTTCGGGAAACGTGGCTAATCTATAAACACACGAAGCTGCTAAAGAAGATCGACCACGCCAAAGTCAGGAAGCACCAGAGAAAGTTTCTCCAGGCTATCCACCAGTGAGTAAGCCAGGGCAGCCAGGCCACCAGACGACCAAGTGAGAAGTGGTGGGCGCCCCAGAGCCCCACCGGTCTCTTCTCATATACTTAGAAGAGCGGGAGAAACCTCTTCCACTCAACAAGCACAGGGGGTGGTGAACTGGATCCAGATCAGTCTGTTTATTCATTTATTGCGCCTGCCACTGCAAGACATTGGACAGGCTGCCATGGAAGGCAAAAATTAGATAAGAGCCTCAGGGAGCTCTCAGAGTCTACATACACACACATACATCACATTACAACTGGAAGCAGAACAAATTGTGATCAGTGTTTTCTATAAGCTGCTGCTGCTAAGTCGCTTCAGTCGTGTCTGACTCTGTGACCCCATAGACGGCAGCCCACCGTCCATGGGATTTTCCAGGCAAGAGTACTGGAGTGGGGTGCCATTGCCTTCTCCGTTTCTATAAGCTAAGTATTTTTAAAAATACAGTGGATTTTTAAAAGTAGAGGATGAAAACATTTAGTCTGACCTGGAAGTTTCAGGAAACCCTGAAAGGCTGAGCATAAGACCTTCAAGGTGGAAGGCACGGCCTTGATAAAGGCATGGAAGCTGGGACACCATCTGAGAGTGGTGGGCAACCTATAGTGACTAGAGGCAAGCACGCATGGAGATAAGTTTGCTTTCTTGGGGACCTGCCAAGCCCTTGATTCTGGTCAGTTGTCACCCATGTTTGTGGTCCTGGGCTGGGTTCCAAAACCAGATGGATTGACATGGATGTGGAATCAGCTGGTGGGGGTTGAACCCAGCATGCACTTGAAGAGTGTGGCTCTTAACGACTCTTTCTCACAGACTGAGGAGCGTCAAGATGGAGCAGAGGAAGCTGAGTGACCAAGCGAACACCCTGGTGGACCTTTCCAAGGTGAGTGGCAGAATCCAAAGACCCCATAAAGGGTTCTCAGATGTTGGCCTTTCATCTCCTCAGGTGTGGCTGTGAAGACGTGGCCATGGCTAAACTGGACAGAGGAGGACCAGGAAAGTTAAGGCCACTTCCTCCTTCCTTAAAAAATAATCTAAGTTCAAGTTCTGGACATTTGCAAGCTACTAGTGTGTGTTATTGACTTTGAAAACCTGGCATGTGTTTCTTCAATTCTATCGCTCAGGTCAGGCTTTGCTGGGAATTGATTGACTGGCCTGCTGAGTCTGTTTAGTGTGTTGCTTGATTCGCTGTATACTGAGTTTGCACAGGGTGAAGCACAATGACAAGGCCAAATGGTGATGATGGTGATGCTGCTTGTCTAGGCCGCACTTAGAAGGATCCTTCTGATTTGTGGTTATAATTGTAAGCTCATTTTCCTGCATCCTTCAGTCCTTACGACTCGGCTTTTCTGGCCCCCAGTCAGGAGGAGGGGGGAGGTGCATATCTTTCTACCTCACGAAGATGCCAAAGAAGAAAGCCCTCCTTTCAGAGCCCTACAATCATTCTGCATTTCTGGCCCTGAACTGCCGCAAATACTATAAAGAAACTCGCTCCTTTTGCGAATCTCTGGAGTGAAAGAAGCGGAGGCTGCACCGCTGGCAGAACTGAGTGTGGGCGCTGCTGAAGAAAGGACCTGACCCCTCCTCAGCTCCTCCTCCTCATTGCCTCTTGATAGAAATTGTATGTCAAGTGTATAGCCCAGGGCCAGGCTGGTAGAACATTCCAGCAGATGTCAATTATCATCACGGAACACGTTCCCTGAGTAAGCAAGAGAAACTCCCTCAGGCGAATTAAACCCCCTTTGAAAAGAGGGTGTAATCAGAGAAATTGCCGGTTCCTGGGCCACATGCAGTGCCTTGTTCAGTGAAGGGATCAGGCCAGAGAAAGGATCTCCCAAGCTTGGGAGGACTTTAATCAGGGAATGTGTGGCTGGCATGGGTTGGGAGAAGCCTACAGGCCTGTTTGTCTTTGCAGGGGGTGCTGAGGTAGACTGAGGTTTCCTGCGAGCCTGGAGGAGGCAAGGATGTGAATGGGATGACCAAATGCAGAAGGGAACCCCTCACCAGGGTCTAGCGTGCATTGCTCAACACTCCTGGCTTCTAGTATCAGAAACCCTTTGGAAGTAGGTTTAAAAATGTAGGTGCTTAAGAATACAAGGAAGTCTCATTCCAGGCAGAACCTCAGGGCAGGCATGTGGTCAGACTTTAGGAAGGAACTAACTAGAAGTGGACCTCACCTCAGGAAATAGGTGCCCACCCTCTCTTCTCTCTCATGTCCAAGTGCCTGCATCAGTTCTCTCTCTCTTCGTCTTCCGCATCTCCTGACAACTGTCTATGCCCCTTGTCTCCATGGCAGGCCCCTATCCAGAGTCCATGTTCTAGTTCTAGCCACAGGCAAAGACAAATTGACTGGCCTCCTATTGGTCTTCATTCTAAATTCTCAAAAGAGATGAGCTGACTGGCCAGTGTGGGTCACATGTCTACCCTCGGACCAATTACCTGAAGCCAGGAGGAGGGTCAGGTAAGGCAAACATTGCTGGGAAACCCATGCTGGGGGATGCAGGAATGGTCCACCAAGCCCCAAGATATTTCTTTAACAGGTAGCCATATTTCTGCCTTCTCTGTCACCTGGCAGGACACTCTGTGGCTGGAGTTCTCCTGGAAATAGTGGACAACCTGGACTTTCAAGCCTGCATTTCTTCATTGTCAGTCACTGCCTATCACAGAGACGGCGCTCCCTGCAGATCAGACTGGGTGGGGCAAACTCCATGAATTGGAAAGGGGCTCACAGAAACTGGGTGGGGAAACTAAACCATCGCTAACTGGAAAGAAAGGGTGTGGAGGAAAGGGTTAAGGGAAGGTGTCTGCTGGGTTGCAGGGGTGGTGTGAACTCTGCCACACTTCATCTTTCCTCTCAGGAGGCTCAGCCAAGGTCCTGGCAGCAGCCTAGCATCTTTCACACTGGTCTGCGTTCCCCCCTGGCATCTTGTCGCCAAGCAACAAAACAGGGGAGACAATAATAACACGGTGTTCTCTCCTTTCCTCTCTGTGCTTCGTCCGCCCAGCTCACCACTTCCCACCCCTGTCCTGTGGCCCTCTCGAGATTAAGAAAAGAGCATGTGGCCTCCAAATAACACTTGCTCTATGGAAGAGCTGTCTTGTAGGGTGGCAGAGCTCGGGGGCCTGGGAGGGGTGTGTGTGCACTGGGGCTCTTTATACCTAGCCTCAGTGTCTTCCATGAGATGTAAAAATTCTTCCTCACATCTGAGGCTCAACTGATCAGATAAGGTGATATCTGTGAAAATGCTCCGAAAACTATAATGGTTCTGCACGTGATAGTTCTGATTAGAAATCTATATGAGGAAATCAAGATCCCAAGGAACAAAGAGACCTTCCCAAGTTTGGTCTGTTGGCGAGCTGCCACACTGGGGCAGAGACCCAGGGGCCCAGACTCAGTCCAGAACTCGTCAGGGTGCCCCTGCAGGCAAATCCATTTAAGGTTTTGTGCATTCCGGGAAGAACATGCACCTTGAGGAGCTTCTGTGAATGTTAATGAATGAAGGACGCACTGCCACCCCTAAACTCACCCTCTCCTCCGAAAGGGCCACAGTGGAGTCCTGCCCTGGAGAAGTCACAGCTGCCTCATTCCTTCTGGGGCTGCAGCCAGTTTCCTGGGGGGAAGGTATCGTGCGTGCGTGCTTAGTTGCTCAGTCTTGTCTGACTCTGCAACTCCATGGACCGTAGCCCTCCAGGCTCTTCTGTTCATGAGGTCTCCCATGCAAGAATACCGGACGGGGTTGCCATTTCCTCCTCCAGGGGATCTTCCCGGCCCAGGGATTGAACCCACATCTCCTGCACCTCCTGCATTGGCAGGGGGGTTCTTTACCATGTGCCACCAGGGAAACCCTGGGAAGGTATCACTACATTCTCAACCCCCCTTCTCCTATCTCCCCTCTGGCTTCTCACATTTTGCCACCTCTAACTCTTTTTTTTCATTTGCCTCACTTCCTACTCCCTTGGCCCCTGCCTGCCCCCATGGTTTCTGCATCTTCCTGGAGTAACTTGAAATTTCAGGTGAAACAGGATCAGAGTGTCACTGGCAAATGACCAGAGCCACAGTACCTGCAGGTGAGGGCTGGAGGGTACAAAGCAGCCTCAAACCTGGCTCTGCCCTTGCAGCCGCAGAAACACCCGACATTGTGTTCCTGAAGTCTCCCAAGAATCTTGCTCCCAAGTCTGATGCCATTTGTTAATTTGCAGGGAGAAATGTGACTGTCATGTTGATAAAGTCCCTACAGACCAACCCAGGAAGCCAAATTATAACCCAAAAGTTGCCTGATAAGAGTAGAGTCAGAACCTTGGTGGTACTGAATGGAACAAAAGTGGTTTCATTTCAATTAAATGAATTAAACTTGAGGGATCATTAGATGTATAGTAGGCAGGACTCTGTACTGGTGAGAGGGGGGCCGGGAGAGGATGGTGCCCAGGTTTCAGGTGGGAACAGCTTGAGTGAACGGCCTCTCCTGGAGATAGGGAGTGCTGGCAGAGAATGGAGGGAGAGCGGAAGATGGAGCACTTGGCATGAGTTGCATTTGTTTAGTACTCTGCTGACCTGGTTTATACTTCAGGCTCGAGAAGACAAGTTTATTACTCTCAAGTTGTATTTTATTTGCAGTTCCCTGGAGGTACCCCATGTTTACTCTCCTGCTCTCAAGACCTCGTTCAGTGTTCATTCACAAAAACTTACTGAGCACCTGCTCTCCAGAGGCGGGCCCTGAGCTGGGCCCCCACGGGACTCTTTTCTCCTTTCCTTCAGCCACTCAGGTCTCAGCAGGAAACACTGGGAAATCTTCTAGTTATATGGAAATAACTTGTGGTACAAGAGGTCTTTTCCCATCAGTTAAACTTTTACGTTGGCTGAAGAATGGAAGGGCAGAGGTTTTCCCCTGAGACAGCACTTCATTCATTCATTCTACAAACAGCTTTTGGTGCTAACCATGTGCAACAGACCCCCTTGCTAGGCACATCTGTGAATATTTATTCATCAAAAAATGTTAGCTGAGCATCTCCTATGTGCCAGATACTATTTTAAGTCCTTGGGACACATCAGTGAACACAACAGGCAAAGGTCCCCGCCCTGGAGGGGATTTCCTTCTAGTGGGAGAGGACAGACAACAACAATATGCAAAAGAAACAGCAGATAGTTAGTGTATTAGAAGACAGCTTCAAAGAAAGGAGAGCATTGAGCAGGGTTAGCAGGTCAGGAGTGGAGTGAGGACAAGGTGCCTTATTAACAAGGGCGTGGGGGAGGGGAGGGGATTTTTTTTTAAATTGGAGTCTACTTGCTTCACAATGTTAATTTCTGCTGTACAGCAATGTGAATCAGTCATATGTATACACATATCCCCTCCCTTTAGAGCCCCCCTCCTGCCCCCATCCCACCCCTCTAGGTCATCACAGAGCACCGATATGAGGTGTGCTATAGAGCAGCTTCCCACTAGCTATCTGCTTTAAGCATGGTAGTATATATACGTCAGTGCTACTCTCTCAGTTGGTCCGACCCTTTCCTTCTGTGGGGAGGTGATTTTTCAGGGAGGTTTAGAGGCAGTGAGGCTGTCGGCCATGGGATGTGTGTGGGGTGAGTACTGGTGATGGGCGGGTCCCTGGGACCCTGGGAGATAGCAGGAGAGCAGGATGTTTACTGGGGGGCAGTGTCAGGACCGTACCTGTCAGAGAGAGGGGGGAAGGTAGAACATGGCAGAAAGAGAGTCTGAAACATGATACAGTAGGCAAAGTCCTCGACCGGCCCATGAGAGTTCCCAAGGTGGACTGGCCCTTCAGGGGTGTCCCACACTGAGGCGATGTCCCTTCTTGACCAGGAAGGAGAGGCGCTATAATCTCTGCAAGGCAGCTCCCTTTCACTGCAACCCAGGCCAGAGTGAGTTTCATCAGATAATCGTACATTCTGGCTGCTGTGTTGAAAGTGAGCGGTGGGCGGAGCAATGACTTCATTACCATGTGTAGTTATTATTAACTTCTATTTTGTAAGGAAACCGAGGTTCAGAGAGTCTAAGGGACCTGAGGGAAGGCGCATTGTTAGTGAGCAGCATACAGGTACTTGAACCCTGGCCTCCCAATGATTAGTCTATCGCATTGTCCACTCCCTGCCTCAGAGCCATCTCTTTTTAATCAGTAGGTGTCATTGCTGCATGAGCTGAGAGGTTGGATGCAGTAAGAAACTGAGGATACATTAGGGACTTGTTCTATTTCAGAAGTGCTGCTTCTTTTCCATCCTACCTATTTTCTAATATATTTTTGCAGGTAATATGCATTGTTTTTGTAATAAAACAATAACAACATAAAAACCACTGTGCCACTGGAGGCTCCATGTTTTTAAGAAAGTAAATGGCTTCTCCATCCTTGGCCAGAGGAGACCCAGCTGATGTGGAAGCTGGTCCCTGGAGAGTGGTCTTTCCACTGTCATCTGGAAGAGTATCTCATGTTTCTCATCACAGATTCCCCTGTGATGACCTGTTGTCTTCCCATCTCTCACCTCTCCATCTCCCCAAACAGATGCAGAATGTTATGTATGACTTGATCACAGAGCTCAATGATCGAAGCGAAGACCTGGAGAAACAGATCGGCAGCCTGGAGTCTAAGCTGGAGCACCTCACCGCCAGCTTCAATTCCCTGCCCCTGCTCATCGCCGACACCTTGCGTCAGCAGCAGCAGCAGCTCCTGTCTGCCCTCATGGAGGCCCGGGGCGTCAGCGTGGCGGTGGGCACCACCCACACCCCACTCTCCGACAGCCCGATCGGGGTCAGCTCCACCTCCTTCCCGACCCCATACACGAGTTCAAGCAGTTGCTAAATAAAACTCCCCACTCCAGAAGCATTACCCATAGGTCTTAAGATGCAAATCAACTCTCTCCTGGTCACTTTGCCATCAAGGAACATTTCAGACCAGGGATCGTAAAGAAGAGACACCGAGCTAATTAACTAACTCATGTTCATTCAGCGTGCTTGGTTTGATATGCCTTGAAACCAGAAATCTAATCTCTGTTTAGGTGCCTCTACTTGGGAGCAGGAAGAGGAGATGACAGGAAGCGACGCCTCTGGCAGGGCCCTTGCTGCAGAGTTGGTGGAGAACAGAAATCCACGTTCAATCTCAGGTCTTCACGTGGGGAGGGGTGGGGGGTCAGATGCACTGAAGGAGCCAACAGTGAAGCCAGCCTGGAGGTGGGTCCCGCTGCGGGGAGGGTGTGGTATCAGGCTTGGGAGATGGGTTCCTCACCCCTGGGGTCCTCCAGCCCACCACTTTCCTTTCCTTTGTCTAAGGAAGCCCCCAGAGGACAAAAGTAAGAGAGAGCTGCCCACAGCTTGCCAAAACAGATGTTCTTTCCTCCCATCCCTTACACAGTCATAAAATCTAGACTGAAAGAAAAATTGATGAATAAAAAGCCAGACTCTCCATTCAATATTAATACTCATATAAACCCATGTATTTGCAAGCGTGTGCATGCACACACAGACACACACATCCCACATTCAACCCAGGTCTTTTCTTGTTTGCACTTGACCCAAGCAAAGAGGGAGCTGGTACCTTACTCTGCACACAGTAGGCACTCTCTAAATGTACATTGAGTTGGTCTGAATCTGGGTGTGGGTGCTGTCAGTTCAGTGGGTTTGCCAGTGTTGCCACATTCTGAGCTTCACTGAAGATGCCGGTCCCTTCAAATACAAAACAGGGTACACCATGCTTGCTCTGAGATGAATGACAAGCCAAAATTGGCATTCTGGAGAGATAAGCAACCTTCTAAAAATACCAGCTTCTGCAGAGTTTTTATCTTGTATCCAAACAAGCTGTGTTCCACAGGAGTGCATGATCAGGTGTACGGATATGAGGGCAGGGGAACAGGATCTGTGCACAGATGCACACACACGTGTGAATAGGTGCAACCCCAGGACACCTTCGTGAATAGAAGTGTTGTCTGGGGGGTTATTCAGTGATATTTATCCAGTAACAGTTTTCCAGCCCCAGATGTTAAGAGCACAAAGGTGTCAAGGGCCTCACATGAGAGCTGGGAGTAGAAGTGAGGATGAGTGACCCAGGTGGCCCCTTCTATGTGACCTAAAACCATGTCAAAGTGCAAGGTTTTGAAGATAAAGGGAGCCCTTAGGGGACATTGTGGGTAAGATAAGGTGACATAGATTTGTCAGTAGCTTATTCCTATTGTGCCACATTTATCTTGGTGCAAAAATTATTGTAATACTTCTCCAACTTCAAGAGGCTTCAGAAACATCCAGATCCAGTGTATAATAGAAATTGTGAGCACAGGGCATCTGGATGCAAGATATTTTTCTCATACCATCATCTAACTATACATAATGCTTGTGATGTGAAAACCATTCTACTAGTCATCCCATTTCTCATTCCAAGGTCTCTGACTTCTGCTTGTTGGGACTTAAATGATACTGTAGGGAATATTTCATCTATTTAGGGTAAAATGAAGGATGTCATTTGTGGTGTGGATGGTTGTCCTGTAGGGTATCACAGGACATCATCACCTTTCTGAAAGCAGAGTCTAGCTGTGGAGACTTCTACAGCTCTGGGCCTGGTCTTCTAAGGACAAGGGAATCAGACAGCAAAAGGTAGACAACCCTAGGAAGCCCACTCTTTCAAGAAGATCTGGTCTCTTGTTAAATTTCTTCTTTTATCTTTTTTTTACTGCTATTGCTCTTCCCCTGATGGCCTCATTTTTATCTCAATAACTCCTTTGAGCATTTTCCTTGGTTGTTTTGTATACCATAGATGCCACACTTACTGCTGGCTTTTTTTTTTTACTTGTTATTTTACCTATTGACTATCTAAAAGATCCATATCTTTTTTTATGTCCCAAGAATGGTGCTCCTGTTTTCAGTGACAGCTGAAAGTATAAACAGACAGATAAGCAGATGAAATAACCATGTGTTTTCTTTGTGGCATTAGTTCATTTCACAGTATGAAAAGCACTGACAGGTCAACCTGAGCGTGCCAATCTCGATCATCTAAACTGCAGCCCTCAATTCTTAATTCCTAGTCACTCTTCCCATTCCCCAGGTAGCCCTATGGTGTGTGTGTGTGTGCGCACATGTGCACATGTAGGGATTTAATTTGAATTTCAAACAAATGGCATGCAAGATTCCACTGCTACTCCTCCTGCCAAAAAAGTATGTGCAGACTGTCACTGACCCATTGTTGTCTATGGGTGGCTCTTCTTTAACCCATCACTAATGCTGTTCACTTGGGTAAATCCTAATGACCAAGCTAGCAACACAAGCAAAGAGAGTGGCTGGAGATACTTTCAGTAGCAGCAGTCACTGGTATCCTAGAAACACACGGGTGTTTGTAGTGTGACTGGACCTATTGGTAGTGCAATAGCTAAGTATGGTTTTTCTCTTTGGGAAAAGAGTACTTTTCAAAAAAAAAAGATCGAATACGCATGCTGACCCTCCAGTGGTAAATGAGACGCTGCTTCTCTGCGCTGCTATTTCAGCTTTAGATGGGGAAGTTATCCGTTCTCCTGCAAGTACAATCAACCTTTGATGACTTAGGTATGGATTATCCAGGATGTAACCCACCCATTTCCTTCCTACAGCCCATCTTTCGGCTAAGTCCACTGCGCCTCAGCATCACAGTCAGATGGGAAAGGGGGGCAGGTGGGTTTTCATGTCACACCTTCTTGTCCTGTAATTTCAAGTTTGGTGGTAGAGGAGATTTAATTATCTACTCAAGAGTTGGCTATATGAAAAAACAATTAATTATGGTAACCTCACCCCAGTACTGAACTGATTGAGTTCTTCCCCCTCCTGGAAGTCAGACCCAGTGGCCAAGTCCCTCCTATAATCTTTCTGTTAACTCAGTGTCAGATCAAAGTATACTCTGATATTCTCTAAAATATCTAGACACTTGAATTAAAAATATAGAGCCACCCCCTCATTGCTTAAGCCATATTATAGCTTCATGTACTGTAAAGGCAGGGATGTATATGATTACCCAAGACCACTAATCTCAGTGGAATTTCAGGACAGAACATCAGTTGGTAAGTTATACCAGACTAGGGGCTCACCCCTCCTTAGATTGAAGTCCAAATGAAAATGTGTATCATTGGATCAAAGGCCACATATGTGTGATCATCATCAATAAATGATCATAAAGTATCTATTAACTGCTCTTGCCATCCTCATAATATGTAACTTCATGACATCATATCTCTAGAAAGGTATAATACAATGCAAAAGAGCAAGAGGGGTAAGGCCTTGAATCACCACTAACTTCTGACTTCAGCAAGTACCAGTGGTGTAACAATAATCTCATAAGTGAGAAGGTATAGAAAGTGTATGCCCAAGTAAGTTCTAAAGTGTTGAGCAAGCGCAACCTGTTGTTGTATATTAAAGGCCGGGAAGAAATAATATTGAAGAAATAATTATTTTAATACATTCCCTTTGATTTTTTATAATTTCTTATGACTAAATCATGATGGAAGAGAATAAACCTAGAGATACAGAATCAGAATAAATAAAAATCTAACATTGGATCCATATCCTTGGCCAATGAATATAACCACCTCAGACCTCAATTTCTCTATACTTAAAATGAAGATAACAATTAATATTGTTAAGTGTGAAGTATTCAATAGATTTTTTAAATGGAATCACTATTGTCAACAACACCAGTCCAAACCAACTCTGTCTAGTCTACACTTTGGTGTTGCCTCAGAATGTACTCAGTAGTTAACCAAAAAGTAATTCTTACCTATTGACCTATGTGAAATTAGCAGGGAGAGAAGCATGGGATGAGCACATAGTCCCAAGACCTCTCTCCTCCTTCAGAGTGTACCTCATCAAAGAGTGCACCCCAAATTAAGAATCAGTGTTTCATTCCAGAACCCACGATGTTGCTCCCATCACAGTACCCAATTGAGACACTATGAAGTCATTGCACTACCAGTAGGTTACTGCTCTTTTAAAGTTACTGCTTTTAAATCATAAACTATGTCCCCAGTTCTGCAGTCATCCCACTTCCCTCGATGTTGCTTAGAAGCAGATGAAGGCTCTGTCAGTCGTCATTTTGCTGCCCCTATTGACTCCGCACGTGTTCGGTTTCAGTACCTTAGACAGCTACCTGATGGTTTCCTGGTAGGCGGGAACAGCCTCTTCCCTTCCCATCCTTCCGCTACAGTCGGTCGGCTTAACAACACCCTGGACAGTATCCCTTCCTTCTCCACTGCCGCCAAAGTAAACATTGTGGGAACGGGATCACTGAAACCACTAAAAAAAGAATGTTACAGGGATAGCAATATTAAGTGTCTGCCTCTGGTAGTAGAATATAGGTGAGTCGCTCTTCATCCTGAAAGCTTGTGCCAAGCTGCATGAATAGAAATTAACACTAAACTCCTGTCAGACAAGTAATATGTAGATTTTTACTAAAATAGACCGAAGCTTATTAAAAAGTTCTCAGTGGAATGGTATAGTAATATATACAGATAGAGGAAAAAAAATAACTGTGATCTTTTTCCTTACACCATTACTGGAAATGCCCAAATATGAACTGGAGTTCCCTCTGAACAAAACCATTATCAAATCTTCAACGTATGACCTCCAAATCTAGGTGCCAAGTGAGTGCCCTGCCACAGTTGTTTACACACCCGAGAAACATGTTCTGGAAGCTGTACTCTTGGGCTTGGACCATGTGTTGAGACAAACAAAACAGACGTTGTGGCCAACCAAGCTGATGGAGGAAAAGCACAAAATTCAACACCAACCTATAGTTCAGATCCCAAAGAGATGCTGAAGTTACAGCCAAAAAAAGTTTCTTTGACAAATCAAATACCGATCTGATCGGAACAGCCAACATGAAAGTTCATAGAAGAAGGACAGGGAGTAAACAACATTCTCTAGCTGTATCATATTGTCTCAGTCTTTGAATCTCAACCAGGACTGATCTACCTTCATCAGACGCACTTTTTAATGGCGCAACAACTCAGTATTGGTCCCAGACTCTCCATTCTGCACTGACCAGAAGAGAACAACAAAAGAGAGCAGCAGGATGTCAATGGAGGAAATATATCCATGGCGAACTCAGAAACTGATGTGTTTATATTCAGAATCAGATGAGCTTCAATATGAATTTGCATCTTGCCTCTGTACTGCTTGCTATTTTTTAATGATAGGAGAAAGTATAACAGTTTATTTTAAATATGAAATATATTGCTATATTATAAAATATATTGTAACTTTCAATTAACATTTTGTATCAAACTAGTCTTTAGCAGGTACAGTGTCAACCTGGTCTCCCAACGACTGTTTCTGAGTACACATCACTATTAGTGATTGCCTAACACCCAGAACAAGGGTCCTCAGCCTACTGAACTGCCATATTCTAATTCTGAGACCTGACTAATAGAGATAAAAGAATGTTATACCCCACTTAGAAGACTAATTCTACCCTAAATTCTTTCAAGCCATTTCAGAAGAGATTTTAAAAGCCATCACTCCTTTAGTAGCTGTGCAAAGCCAGTTTAATTAAAGTGCAGGCTCTTTCTATCTAAATGCAAAGGCCCTATTACATAAATGATATGTCTTAAACTCAGCCAATCAGTTTTTCCTTTGGCAATGGCAGAATGGGGCATAAGGAAGGGTCTTGTTCTCCTGTGACACAAAAGATTCAGAATCCTAGGCATTGTAAGTTTCTCTGTGTCAGAGTATAACTGGGGTTGGAATTTCATTTCCATGGGGGCCCAGTGAGAACCCAGTGGGCAGTTATGCTTTTCTGAGTCAGCAGTGCCCTAGAGGGAGCCAGGTTTCCACACATTTAACCACAACATGGAACACAGCTCCTAAGGGAATGAAGGGAGGAGGCAGGACATGCAAAGAGCTGGGCTTCCTTTTCTGCTAGTTTAGCTGGGAGGAAAGAGTTTTCATCAAGATATTTCCCTTTATCGGCAAAACTGTGACAAATTTTCTACTTCAGCAACTATGATATCGATGTCCTTCCTTCTCTGATAGAGCAGTTGAGACACATGTGTAAAATTTCTCACTTCCCTGCTTTGGCCACGGGACTCTTTGTAGATGAAAACAGGATGCATTTGGCTATAGAACGAAGGTTTCCTGGAATCAGTGGCCTCCTCCCAAGGAGGACCCTTGCTTGTTATCACATAGGTAAAATATTGCACAAGTGCACAGCAAGTAGCATCAGGATGGATTCTTCAATGAGGGTATCTCTTCCCTTCACAATCCCTGAAAATTCACACAGATATACTGATAGTGCAAAACAGTAGGTTTTCTCCTGGGAAAAAGGCTGGAATCCTCTCACACTTCCGTTTTATTTGAGCTTAAATACAGGTAAGGCTGGGGCCTCAATGATGTTATTCATGCCATTCGAAAGAGAAATATCTAAATGCCCAGCTTCAATCTGCTCATGTGGCTGAAACCTAACATGGAGACACATTTTATTTCATTTTTATTCATTAAGCTTTTTATTTTGTACTGGAGTGTAGCCAGTTGACAATGCTGTGATAGTTTCAGGGGGACAGTGAAGGGACTTGGCCATACGCACACACGTAACCCTTCTCTCCCAAACTCCTTCCCATCCAGGTCTCCACATAGCATTGAACAGAGTTCCCTGTGCTGTACAGTTGGTCCTGGTCAGTTATCCATTTTAAATACAGCAGTGTGGACCTGAACACACATTTTATTTTTATTGAGCTGAATTCTCTCAGTCTCTATACTGGTCCTCAGTTACATGTTTGGCTGAGCTCCATTAAAGCCATCAGAACTCCAGGGCACCTGTTTTTAGCAAGTTACTCACTCACTTGGTAATGGAAATTAGCTTATTCTCAATTTCATAATTGACTGATGAATGTAGTGGTGGTAATTTATTTGTCTCATAATACTTTTCTGCTACTAAACAGAACTGTCTCTTTTAGCTTTTCCTTCTAGCTGTTCTCAGACTAAGACTTTTACGTTTATAGAGAGTGTTCTGATTTTTCTACTCAAAGTTACTATTCCATCTAGAATTAAGAAAACCAATACAAATTCCTGATTTGGGGGAAATGGGACCTTTGGACAGTAATTCAGGCATATAGCTATATGCTGACAGTTGTAAGTCAAAGTGTGGGCCACAGATCGGCGGCATTAGCATCATTTGGGAACTTGTTAGAAATGCAGAATCTCACGCCCCATCCCAGACCTACTTAATCATATTAGGTATTTTAACAATGTCCCCATGTGGTATACATATTAATTGTAAGCACTGTCCTGACCACACAGCAATGGTAAATAACATCATTACTATTCAGAAAATTAAACTATTTCTTCCTTGACCCTCACGTATAGAATTATTTGATGAAGTAAAGGTCCCAAATGATCATAAAAACAAATGCACCTTAAAATTCCTCTTGAGGTCAGATAGCTCGAGTGGTATATACAAAGAAGCAGTCTTTTCCCAGTCTTATTTTAAAAGTACTCACTTCCTAGCCTTGAGCCATCTCAAAGCACCTTTTTAAGGTTTTTGTTTTAGCAAATGCTGGCAGGGCCATCAGAATATCAGGTGGTTCCTTGGGCCAGGTCCCCTGGAAGGTCACCTGGCTCCCTGCTCAGCATAACGCAGAAATAGCTGCATCTGTGTTCCTTCCTTGAGAAACTCAGCATCCCACCAGTGGGAACTCTCCTCCCTAGAGGAAACTAGCAAGAGAAGTTAGTTTAACCGTCTGGATACATTCCTAATCTCTCTTTAAACCAAGTCTCTTATTCATTACACCAACCAGACACTCTGAGGTAAGCAAGGAAAGATGTGAATTGTGATATTGGCGCCATAAATTGATATGTACCCAGAAACAGTTATGTTCTGAATTAATGGCTTTAACCTGTTCATTGTAAAAAGTGCCTTGGACTTCAATCTAAAGAGGTCAGTATAAATATATGTGTGTGTGTGACATATGTAGGCAAATATTTACATATTTATACATACATAGGTGCACACACATATACCCTGCACATTCATATATAACATATACATACATATATAAATGCTTCATAATATATCATATTGCTATTTGCAGCTCCATTTCTTTTGTCTGGTCCTATGTTTATTTGTTTAGTGAGACCTTTACATAGAGAGGTTCTATCCAGGACATTGATGTATTTTTTTGTTTGTTTTTTACTTTTTATTAAAAAGGTAAAGGATATAAAAAGTCAAGTGCCTGAAGGTTTTGAATGGAACTGTGGTCAACTTTCTCAGATCGTCAAAAAGGAAATTGAATTTGCTTTTGGGAACCATTTTTCTGTTTCAGTGGCTGTGTTTCCCTCTGCAGGACTGCCTAAGTAAAAGTGGTTACAGTGATTTTGTAATTTCATTATATTCCATTTTAACAGCAAACCTTTTTTCACTCTAGTGCCAAGTTCTCTTAACACAG